GACCCATACTTGGTCCTTCTGATTTTATACCATGTCTCCCAGTTTAATCAAGCCCTGATTCCTCCCCAGTGCCATACCTCCACAGCTCAGAAAGGAAGCAGGGTAAGGAATGGCCTTAAATGTCAGGGAGGGTCAGGATAAGGTCAAATGCAGGCTGGGGAGTTGAGGAGGGGGTGTCAGAATAAGGCAATCAACCAAAAGCAGGTGGCAGGAGCTACAGGTCTCCATAGTAACTGGTTGTGGATGTGGACTATGTTCATTTCCTAGGCTGTCTTGAAAGTCTCCATAAGATGAGTGTGTGTAGATTGTGTCCTCTCCCACATGGCGGGCTGGAAGACAGAGATGACAACACTGGGCTCCGAGAAAGCATCCACCCCACACGTGTTTCTTTTTCTGCCACAGAGTTCTTGGCTGTGCCTTTACTACCTTCTACTATTTCCCACTTCTCTGCTTCTCTGTGCCCTCTCCTCTTCTTCTATAGCCATTGGTATTAGCTTTAGCACCCACCACAAGCCCAGGATGATTCCATTGTGACCTTCTTAACTACATCTGCAAAGGCCCCATTTTTGACGTAAGGTCACATTCTGAGGCTTGGGGACTTGAGTTGGAGGAAGCCAGTACTCAGCTCACTGTAATTGCTGTTTCTCTGGAGCATTATTTTTCTGCATACTTCCACCTGCTAATTTTCCTACTCTTGAGTTCAGTTGGTGACACAGTTAAAATACCATAGAAGGAAAACAAGTAACAAAGTGCTGTATATCTATATATCTATATCTACATCTATCTATCTATCTATCTATCTATCTATCTATCTATCTATCTATCTATCTATCTTCTATTTATCTTTTATTTATTATCTGTCATCTATAATCTACCTTCTGTCTACCATCTATCTATCTTATTTATCATCTGTCTGTCTGTCTGTCTATCTATCTACCTATCCATCTCAACACAACAAGTTTGGATGTGAATTTAGGAGGATGTTTTCTGGCTCTTAGAGTTTTAGGTAGAAGCCAGCATCATAATTGTCCCATATAAGGCCACCTCCTGGTGAAGGAAGGCCCCTCCCCGGGGATTGCTTTGACCTCCACATTTGATGGAGTTCCCACTTCATATAAGCTCTGATTACATGTTTTCCTAGCCCCTTGATTTTTTAATTCTCCTGGCTTCCAGTTAATTATAATTTCATCTATTAAGAAGTTTGAAAGTGGCCTGGAGAGATGGCTCAGAGGTTAAGAGCACTGGTGGCTGGCTCTTCCAGAGGTCCTGAGTTCAAATCCCAGAAGCCACATGGTGGCTTACAACATCTGTAATGAGACCTGCTGCGCTCTTCTGGTCTGCAGGCAGAACACTGTATACAAAATAAATAAATAAATCCTTAAGAAACAAAGTTTGAAAAGAACGATTAGGAAACATTATAGGAAACGAGAATTAAGCCATACAAGAAGCAAGAACATTTTTTTCCTCTTCAGCAAGTTTGTAAATGTGTGTTCCTGTGCTTCGGCGGCATCCAGCACTTCCGGCATACTGACTACACTTCCGGTAAAGCCCCTTCATACAGCTTCCCTTCCGGGTTGTTTCTGTGAGCCAAGCCAGCTACCAAAACATGTCAGTAGCTCGCCAGCGAAGACAAGACAGGTCAGCAAAAAACCCTAAAGAAATAAAAGACTAATGCTTGATTCTGAAAACATAGATACACAGACGACAGATTAACAGGCTCACAAAGTGACTGCGTGCGTCACACTAAATACCGGCCTGTCCCAACTTTGATGTTGAGATGAAATCGAGATGACAGGACCTGGAATCATTTCAAAGGCCGAGGAAGCTCTTTCAAAAGGTCGTTCTGCCTCTTAACAATGCTAGTTTAAAACTTGGGAAGGAAAGATTAGGAGGCATGATGCAATTTTCTGGCCTTTTAATTGAATGTCTCGTTTCAGGACACTGTAAACAGAACAGAGAAGTAATTGCTTCTCCAAGGGCAAATAAATGCATTTCACTTGATTTTTTTTTTTTGTGGGTTGGTGGCATCGGCTGTGGTTTTGTTTTTGTTTCTTGGAGGAAGGGTCTCAGTATGTAACAGGGGCTGATCTTGTTACGTCCAAGTTTCTAGTCCTCAAGTAAATTCACGAAGCCGGATTTCCGATGCAAATCACATGAGTGTTTTTAATAATATTCAGACTCAAGCTTAGACTACACCTCCACCACGCCAGTGCAGGGGGTGAGAGAAGTGCAGAGCAAACTTTTAAAGGGGAAATACCATAATCAGGGGAGAAGAAGGCCTGTCGTCTTGGTACTGGGTGAGGAGTACATAGGATAAGGGAGTTTCTGAAACCATTGGTCAGTTTTTGGGCACGAAAACCCTAACAAAGAGCCATTAGTAACTGACAAGGTATCTTCAAGGACAGGGTGTCTCCTAGGACCATCTGGACCTCATTAAATTGTATGGCCCTCCTCCCTGTCTTCTTAATTGGCCAATTTTAGGGTAGCTGTTCAAATTTCTGCTATGGCAGCCCATTTCTGGAGCCAGGGTCAAGGTTCTGTTCTATACCAGGTGGCCTTTAGGGAAAACAGAATCCTTTAAGATTAAGGCTCTGTTAAATCTTTGGTCTCTCCAACTCCCTGTTTAAGACCAGGTTATCTTCAAACTTTGTGATCCTCCTGCTTCAACTTCTAAAGTGCTAGAATTACCAGTTTGTGCCACGAGGCCAGAATTTCCAAGGTTTGGGGGGGGGGGGGGGGAGGGAGGGTTAAGTAGAGAGCACCCTCTAAATCTTATTTAATTTTCTCAGGAACCCCATGATTTCAGCATAATTCTCACCAAAGAGAACTGAGGTCCAAACAAGATGAATAACTTTTGCAAGTCCACGTGGTTACAGGGAGTATTGAAAGGTCTTAGCCTTTAATCTAGTGATCTCCCCACCCTTTCCAGCCCTTAATAGGTTGAGAGAAGGAAAGGCAAGTGCCGAGTCCATGCTGGATGAGTAACCGTGAGTCACGGTAATGGTGATCCTGAGATTCTGAGCCTGGACGTGGAGGCGAGATGACTGATGTATCTGGCTGGTTGCCGGAGCTCGCTTGGAGGCAGCTTGGCTGGGCATCTTGCAGGCCAGTGCAGGCTGCTTCCTGGGATGGTTGGGTTACACAGCAGTAGGAATGAAGAAGAAGAACCCCACTGAGTACTTTCAGGCTGCTGATTAAAATCAGGCAAATCACGTGGCCGCATCTAGATTCCTGAGCATGTACAATGTCTTGAGACATTGTACAATCTTGCCTTATATTTTGTTCCTAATAAGCTACAAAAGAAGTGTCTCTCTCTCTCTCTCTCTCTCTCTCTCTCTCTCTCTCTCTCTTTTGGGTCTTTTCTTCGGTTCTATTTTGAGCAATCATTTTTCCATTACCTTGAGATGTACAAACACAAAAGATAGATGAGCAGCCGGGTATTAGTTTGCCATTGAAGGATTTTGCTGAAAACTTGTAGGGATTGGTTATTTTCTCCCTCTTGATTCTGGCCCAGATATTTTTATATTCTCACTCCTAACTCCGAATGCTATGCTGACCCCACCTGGCCTGGCCACCATCTACTATTTCAGGTGTCACATCTACCACCTGCAACTAGTTCCAAAGTTCAGACCCTGAAGTCCAACTTACATTGCTCTCTTCGTGTACATTCTGTCCCATAATGGAATACCTGAGACCATCTCTCCAGCTCCCTCCTATGAATTCTTTACTGTTCCTCCGTGTCACAGATGCTTGCTCTAGAGGTTGCTGTAGATCTCAGCTTTTACTGTTGGCCTCTTCTCAATGAGAAAACCCATTATAACGGGGCTGTTAACAGAATACTGATATTCATATATGTGTATATTATTTTTATATTTAAAATTTTTATTTATTATTTTGTGTGGATGACAGGGACACACATGTGCTGTGGCACGCATGTGGAGGTCAGAGGACAGCTTTGTAGAGTTGGTCTTTTCCTTCCACCTTTATGCGGGTTCTGGGGACCTAATCCAGTTAATCAAGTTTGCAAAACTCTCCTTTTGTCTGCTGAGCCTTCTCAGCAGCCCCTAGGTCAGTGGCCATGACCCCTTTAGTGGTTGGATGACTTTTTCACAGGGGTCACATATATCAGATATCCTGCATATCAGATATTTACATTACAATTCACAACAGTAGTAAAATTATAGTTATGAAGTAGTAACAAAAATAATTGTATGGTTGAGGGTCACCACAACATGAGGAATTGTATTAAAGGGTCGCAGCATTAGGAAGGTTGAGAATCACTGCTCTGGATAATTCATGAATCCTTGTCCATGTCTCTGTCTCTCTCACCTCCATCCCAGTCTGAGCTCTCTTCTCTCCTGAGTCATTTAAAGGGTCTGACTTTCTAAGTCTCACAGTATAGACTTTGTTCCTTACCCACCCATTTAACCACTTCTTCGATTTGCTGTTTAAATGCTTTAATGTCTCGTTGTTCATGAAGACAGAATTCATGACTTATTTTAGGATGGCAGCATATCCGGCCCAAGACTGTTAATCACTCCGGAATCCGTGATAGTCCCACTAGATTTTTGTTTTTGTGTTTGCTTTCCCTCACCCTTGAATGCCTTGCGTCTCCATATTTTTCTGTGACCTCTAGAAGCATCCATCTGCAGGGAGCATATTCCTGGATCAGTTGTCCCTGCACGATTCAATTAGCCATAGTCAAAGAATCACGGTCACATGATACGACAGAGGCCAGCAGGGCTTGCATTTGTTCCCTATTGGTGGGGGCAATGAATGGGAAAGGATGTGTATCCTAAATGGGCCGTCCGAATCCACTGAGCATTCTTGTCTCCCAAGAAGCACTGGGGCGGTAGAGTAGCCATATTCCAGCAATAGGGTAAAAGTGTTCTTTTGCTCTTGAAGGCTACATGTTGGTGGCTTCCATCACCTTAGCCAAATTATTAAATCCGTGATTATTTCCTTGTTCTAAATTGGCCCCATTTCTGTCTTTGTCCTAGGAAGATCATAGCAATGATGTTTAATCAGGACGGAGGCATTCTGATCAGCAAAAAAGGAAGCATCGTAAGGGAATGGATGTGGCCTTCAAAGGGAAAAATTGACGATCCAATTGAAATTGGGGTATTGTTTTAGAATTCATTATTCTTTTCAAATGTGTATGTCTGTGTATTCATATGTGTAAGACATGGGTGAATAGGCGTGTGTGTGTGTGTGTGTGTGTGTGTGTGTGTGTGTGTGAATGTGAATATAAAGACCATGGGGAAACACCATCCACCATCCTTGAAATGAGATCTCTCATTGGCCTGCAGCGTAACAGTGAGGATAGATTGGCTGCCTGATGATCCTCAGGGATCCCAGCTCTGCCTCCCAATGCTGGAATTCCAAGCATGAGCTACCACGTGGCAGAAGACTATTGTCACACACGGACATGGGACTGAAGTTAGTACATTTCACAATCTAAAAGGGGAAGCAGCTGAGAAATAGAACTTTTAATGCAAGGATCCTGCTAGGTGAAAGTTAACAAATGATCTAAACTCTGAGAGCACTTGCCAAGGCTTCTGGGTTGCCATTCCGCAACTCCAGTGCCAACTTTCTAGGTTCACACATAGTTGCTGTGTGTGTGTGTGTGTGTGTGTGTGTGTGTGTGTGTGTGTATAAACTAAACAGACTGCAATAAAGCAGGGCCACCACGTGCAGTTGTTTAGGTGGTACACTGAACAGGTGACCTTGAGGGTACCATTTTGAGAACTGTGACGTCCAGGTAGCCACAAAGCCACTTTGATGACTGAACTTTGAAATGGTTGCAGGTATACACATCAGGTTTCTAAGACTTCACTGAGAAAGAAAATACAAGGTGTCGCATTAATTTTATGGGCCAACCAGTGAAAGGTCTCAGTAGGTAAAGGCACCTGCTGCCAAGCCCGATGAGCTGAAAACTTAGAACCTACGTGATGGAAACTGGCGAAGTTCCTGAAAGTCCTGAAAATCATTCTCTGACCACCGCATCTGGAGATGTTTATTATAAAAGTGCTTTAAAAATAACCCTCTTGTATTCTACTCTTTTTAACACATCTACTAGTCTTAAAAAAAAATCCCTCCCCTGGTTCACATCTGTGGTTCACATCACTTTTCCTGTGACTAACCCCACTGTCAGCAAGTGCAGGGAAAGTAATGTTGCATCTTTCTACACAACTGATAAAACCACACACCCCTGCATGGAAAGTAATAGTGTGTCTTTCCATACAACTTAAAAATCACACACACACACACACACACACACGCACGCACGCACGCACACACGCACGCACGCACACACACACACACACACACACACACACACACCCATAGCTCCTTTTCAGATGGTATGTCTTAAAAAAGTGATGTTCATTTCTGGAAGGCTAGGGAGTAGGTCAAGAAACTACTGGGCAAGATCCTGGGTGTGACTTTCTTGATATTCTGACTTCAGGATTTCCTTATCTTTTACCTACAAAACAGATTATTCTATTATTTTTTTTATTATATTTATTATTTATTTATTATTATAAAAAGAAGTTTTGGATTACCTTAGCTGGTGCAGTGGAGGGTAACTTGTACCTAAAGAAGAGCCCTTACATTCTGGGATGTAACTCTCTGCCCTTGCACACACCAGCCAGTACACTATGCCGAGCTTCGTTCTCAACCCTACAGTCACCTTGTAATCTCAACTTTCTCATTCTTACCATTTATAAAACACACTCCCACTTTAACAGCAACGTTAAGGCTTCGAAAATGTGTAAGTACCGGGCAGTCATGAATCACATTTCTTGGCCTGAAAGGGAATCGTATTAAGCTTATCATGCAGGGAAAGGCTGCTGTCTCTCGAGGCAGAATGAGACCTCAGAAGGACTGAACTGACCTAGGATTTCCTCAATCTAAAATGGATCCAGTCTTCTTTTCTAAGATATGACTCCATGACTTGCGAAATACTTTCTGTCCATTCACCCCCTTTCTGTGAGTCAGTGAGCAGCGCTTACTACGAACCCACCTCTTGTGTCTCTGGCGTCTAAGTGGAAGCGGCCTGCAGGTAACTCTTCCTCATTTCCTTCTGTAGCATCAGGCAAACGCCCTACTTTCACCTGACTTGTAAAAGTAGATTCCACGCCCCCAAATGATCCTCCTTTCTGTTGCTTCCAGGTAAATAAACACATCACGGTGACTATTTCGGGGCGCTTCGCCGTCACCCTGATCTACAAAAGGCGTTCCCAAAGCCTGAAGCTGTCGCTGGCACCTGTCAAACACAGGCCTCCACCGTTACCTGATAAGGTGGACCAAATGTTTCTTAGACATCTTAGACAGGTGGTTTTCAACCTGTGAGTTGCATATCAGATATTTGCATTATTTCATAAGAGTAGCGAAACTACGGTTATGACGTGGCAATGAAAATAATTTTATGGTTGGGGGTCACCATAGCATGGAGAACTGTATTAAAGGTTAAGGAGGTTGCGAACCATTGACTTAGATATGGAGCCAAGTATAGTGGGGTGAGCCTATAAGTTCAGCCCTCAGGAGGCCGAGGCAGGAAGACTATGGGTTCCAGGCCAGCCTGGTCTACACAGTGAGTAGCAGACTGACCACAGATGCATTAAGGAGACATTGCCTGAAAAAGAAAATAAAATTCTTTCTGTTTCCATGTCACTAAGTAGTAGTAGAGCCTGAGGGAATTCTGATCAAACTTTAGGAACTTGAAAAATCTGGAGTGTGTTTATGTGAACAGTGCAGTTATTAAAAGAAAGCCTAGGAACATGTACGTGAGCTAAGTTTTACTTTGTAGAATTACTACAAACATTCTGAATATCCTGGATTGGCATGAATTTCTATAATTCATAATGCTGAGCTGTCTTGCTGCCCTGGGTGTCATTAGCCATAGCTTCTGAAAAAGGCTCCTCTCTCTCCCAGTTGTTCCCTGATATCAACTCCGCTTCCCAGGACGCTAAGGAAATGTTGGCGACCTACAAAAAGAAATGCAGGATGCAAGAGTTCATGTCCCAGATCAGAGATGTAAGTGCCAAGCTGTTGCTTCCGTCTGGCTGGCTGGAGAAAGGGGGTGGGGGCTTTTATTTTTCATGTTATTCTAGTGACTTCCAGTTCCAACATAGACAGGAGTTGTTTGAGAAAGCCAGGGGGTGCTAGGTGGTCTCTGTCTCAGATGGGGAATACTCAGTTCATGCTTTCTGATTGGCCCAGGCATCTGTAGCTCCTCCCACCTACAGCTTGTTAGTGTTTGACTCAAGTTGCCAAAGCTTGGACAGGTAAGCTCTGTACTCCTGGTTAATATAAATTATGACTAGGAATGGTGTTCATTTTATTTATGAATGAACTGAAGCTAGGAATGGTGTTTGTTTTATTTATGAATGAACTGAAGCTGGAATGGTGTTCATGTTATTTATGAATGAGCTGAAGCTGGAATGGTGTTCATGTTATTTATGAATGAACCAAAGCTGGGAATGGTGTTCATGTTATTTATGAATGAACCGAAGTTGGAATGGTGTTCATTTTATTTATGAATGAACTGAAACTGGGAATGGTGTTCATTTTATTTATGCATGAACTGAAACATGCTAATAGTGGCTTCTTTCTCATAGGAGGGCCTTCAGAGTCTACGGCCCTTTCATGCTCATAAAATTTTTAACTGTGGGGGAAGTGAAGTACAGGCAGCAGGTTCATATCCAAGAAAAAAAAAGCCTTATGTATCTATTAAAAGATTGAAAGGACACATGTCTAACATTTAATATTGAATATATTACTTATAAGATTTATAAATGTTTTGCTTACATACAAAAACACACACACATGCGCACACACACACACACACGTAGAATGTCTGTGCCTGATGCCTGTGGAGGCAAGAAGAAGACATTGCATCCCTCAGAAGTAGAGTTACAAAAGACAGCTGTGAGCATCCGTGTAGACATGGATACTGGGAACCAAACCTGGCTCCTCAGCAAGAGCGGCAAGTGTTCTAACTGCCGAGTCATCTCTCCAGCATCAAACCAATAAGAACGAGAGCTTGGCGAAGTCTGTAATATTAGTACAGAAATCAAGTCAACAAAAAATTTAAAAAACGGCACTGTTAAAGGGCTGAAGTTTTTTGTTATTATTATTTTGGCTTTTTTAATTTTGTCTTTTGTGGGCCAGTGATTGGACTCAGAGCCTCGCACAGGTCAAGCCAGGACTCCACCTCAGAGTGGCATCCTAAGGCAGTGCCTAGTTCTGAAGGTTGGAGAGCTATTGTTTATGCTCTTCCCTGGCGTGAAATTAGTCACGGTCCACAACCTTGAGGAAGTACGGGCTCTGTGCGTAGAAGCCTTCCTGTGTTTTCTTCCTCAGGATGGAGACAGTCACCTGACATGTTCACAGTTGGTTCAAAGTGACCACGGAGTCCCCTGTAACTCCTGACGCCACTCTGGTCATCGGCAGTTTCCCACTTGCTCCTTCCCTTAAAGAAAAGTTCAAGGTTAATCCAGCAGGAATAATGATTAACTTTTCAATGGTGACAGTCTCTGTTCACTTTTGAGATATGATTCTTTTAATGTTTTAAGTGTTTTGTTTTTTTCTCATTTGCATGGTATTTTTAAGAAAAGAATATTGAGACATGCATGGCATTCTCAGAGAAGATCTTCTCTTCTCTCCTCTCCTCTCCTCTCCTCTCCTCCCCTCCCC